GAATCAAGCAATCAATCAGAAAAAAAGGAAGAAAAAACAATGGAAACAGGAACACGACAAAATGAATCATTTCCTCAACTCAATGACAGTATATTACAAAATTCACTGGATCCATATGAAATTGATGAGCCAGAACTCATGAAACTTTTACAAGCACATGCCAAAGAACCCACAGACACTCAAGAACCATGGTTGAATCAACATGGATTGCCTTTATGACCAGAAGATTCAATAAATTTGGACACTCCAAGACAAATCATAATATGCTTTACTTTATTAAAGCAAGACCTGCTTTATTAAAGTTAAAGTTTTCTTTATTTAAAAGTTGTTTGTCTATTTGTTGAGTCTTTTGTCATTTTGTTAATATTATTGTGATAAGAATCTTTCTTTATAAAAGAAAGATAAGTTGAGTCAGAAAAGTATGTATTATGTATGTAAAATAATGCCGCGTGTCCATCTTGTCGGAAAAACGCGTGAGTCTAGTTTGTTTGTTATGCTCTTCTTTCTTTATAAAAAGGGGAGCTCTTCTTCATTGTAAGGCATCGAAATTCAGAAATAAAATTCTAGTATGTTCTAATCATGCTCTTTTAAACTTTTCAATCATTTCTTGGTTTTAGAAAGTATGAGATAATTATAGGTTTAAATGCTATGAAGTAAGATCTGAGTAGAAACACGAGTATGCTCTGCACCTTCATGATGAATCTCTGCATCAGAAAGTGTTATACTGACTATATGATCCGTCCAGGTTAAAGTGATTCCCAGCAAGTCCAAAAGCCAGGCCCTTTGTTGACATGAAAGTGTTATACTAACTATATGATCATTCCAGGGTCACAGTGATTCACAGCAAGTCCAAAAGTCAGGCCTTTGTTGATATGAGGTCTGTGTGGGCTAGAATACCGAGATTTGCTGTAGAATTCTGTCACTCTGCTTGTAGACATGAGGCTTGTGTGGGCTAAAATATCGAGATTTGCTATAGAGTTTTGTCACTCTGCTTGTATAATATAGAAAATCAAATATACCATTGAAAATCTGCAATTAGAGGGATAACTCTACAATATGATTTTGCTCTGGGGCAAAGGGATAAATTTAAAGTATGACTAGACTCTCTAGTCCAAAAGTCGCTACTACATCTTTAACTTCTCTATTGATTGGTACATGGTTTTAGCGTGTAGAGAGGTGTAGGGCTCGACACTATGCAAGCTTCTTGAGGGAAATGAACAATTTCTATCCGCTCATTCAACTGTTCAGATCCACAATAAGCTGTGAGTTGAGGTTTGTTCTAAATTTGAGGCTAAACATACAAAAATGTCGAGCCAGGTGCTAAAATTTCACACTACGCCTATCCCGACCCAACATTGAAAAAAGGTTGATAATAGTTTCTCTTTAATTTGTTTTAATGAATACTGGGACAAGCATTTTTCCCCCTACTTTTGCACCATTTTGCACAAGAATCCTAGTTAGGTTATCGAACAATTATCACGGCTTTAATTCGCCAATATGTATGGCAAAACATTCATTAACAATGATGAGGATATTGTAAAGCTTATACAATATGGCAACTTAATTGCCTTCATAATGTTATATTGTGCAATCTCAATACAAAATGGTGTAACAATAACAAACAGTAGAGTAGTGTGGTACCAAAATTGTTCGACCAAAACTATACAACAATGAAGGAAGGTTACCTTATGAGATTACGAAAACCCGTAGCTCTCCCCGGTCTCCCCGAGTGATGCGCGTTTCTGAGTCGAGGAATGTAACTTCAAATTCACCAGTTCCTGGATTAGATGGTGGCCTTAATCCATCTGGTAAACGTGGTATATCCAAT